CTTATATATATATATATATATATATATATATAAAGGGAAAAAAAAAAACCATTTTCACTCCACCTGGTCCTAGATTGAACTTAACACTTAACCACAGCTAATCCCAGCGGAAAAATACGATGATGTTTTTAGCAATGGACCATATAAGGTCAAAAATATGTTTCCTTTTAGCTTTGAGTACCATTCATGAATGTCTGCAATTTTCTTACCTAAAGGATGTGATTTTCTTATAGGAAGGACACATTGCTGTTGGTACATCAACAAATGGAGCAACTTTCAAGATCCCTGGTAGGTGAGTTCTGGAGTTCCTATGTCCTTTCTTTGTGTATATTGCTTTCCAGATTTTTTAAGGAAGGAAGCACAAGAAGAATATGAAGAATTTGTAAGATTTCTATGCCCTGATATGTAAACCCTCGATTTCATGTCATGACTACCAGGAAATTTGACTGCAACTCTTGTTATTGAGAGATGCCTAGTTCCTCATCCTTTTCAAAGTGTTCAATACAATGCTAGAGTCCTTTTGTTTCATACTATTTATTTTGTAATATAGAAATGCAATGGGTATGCGACTGGTATATTACATTTTGTGCATAGATTGATTTGTGGGTTTTTTTTAAAAAAATAAAATCTATGAAATTGATAAGATTTAGTAACTGAGTGATGTTACAACTGCATAGTCATGAGAATATATGAATTCCATCACCCAATTTTATTTCATCATATGTAAGCTTCCATCTGTTTGTTTCCAATGGTCGTATAAAGCACTTCATTCAAGGTAAAGGATTTATATCATGATGTATAACATATACTTGATTTATCAGTATCAACTATCAAGAGATACAAATCAAATACTGACAGGGCACCCATTGAGGAAGTAGGGATGAGATTCTCAACCTCATTTTAATTTATACGTTATTTGTTTCGATAGACTTGTTCCTTTTCACTGACAGGTGCTAAATCTTTCTAAACACAAAGCTGAGCCCTGCGTGATTTAGCAGAGCAGTTGATTTACTAGCTCTATGGATATCTTTCTTGAAGTTTGTCCTTTGTGACTCAAAATTGTTCGCTGAGATCTCCTGAAATCCATTTTCTATCCATTGTTCCTTCTTTCTCTAAATAAAGATGCTTGAGCTTGAATTATCACTGGTTCTTTCAGTCGAAATCCTTCTATTTAGGCTTTATCGATATTCTAACTAATTCTTATCCACCCATTGGGTTCTCCTCCTTGTTTGAGCATATTAGATAGATCTAGTGTTTTTTATAAGCATTTAAGTGTGGGCTTTTATTTTCTGCCATCAATAGCATGCAACTTGAAAAAGTATACTATGATCCATATGATCATGGAAGGTATTATCACCGTCCAAGCAAGTGATGGACGGTGAATGGAATGTACTACATGGATAAGGTCATATCTCTCTCTCTCTCTCTCTCTCACACACACACACATACACACACACACCCCATTAAGTGGATGATAATAGCTATTACAGCCATGCTTTTTCTGTGATCGTATGGATCATAGTGGACTTCCCTAATAGGCAAACACAGAATTAATGCAAGACCTTTGTCAAGGAGTTACTCAGTTTCGAAGGCTTTGGTTTAGAAACATAGAAATTTCGAACAAAAATAGATAAATAAATAAAGGATGGTTTGCTTTCAGGGTGGGTGATGGGCCAATTGCAGGATCTGCAGCGTATGCTGATGATGAAGTCGGAGCTTGTGGTGCAACTGGGGATGGTGACATCATGATGCGCTTCCTTCCATGGTAATCTTTGTGTGCGTGTGTATGAGAGAGAGAGAGAGAGGGTGCAAAATATCATAGAGAGAGATTGGTGACAAGGTTAACGACGAGAGAGAGAGAGAGAGAGAGAGAGAGAGAGAGAGAGAGAGAGAGAGAGAGAGAGATAGAGTAGAGTAGAGTAGAGTAGTACGTACGTAGTAGTACGTACGTACGTACGTAGTACGATACGTACGTAACGTACGTAACGTAACGTAACGTAACGTAA